AACTTTAGTGCTCAGTTGTATATCTTTACTCTTGAGGACATTGTCTAGTGCTTTCATTGCTATCCTTCCCATTTCTAGTCTTATTATTATTTCTGCAGTCTCCTTTCTGTTCAATGTTTCAATCAAGATACAGGAAGTCTTTAACTATTTCAATTCCCTCATTGTCTAGTTTAAATTTAGGTAACTCCTCCATGGTCATTATTTTTGCTTTCTTTATGTTCAGCAACAAGCCTGACTTTGCACTTTCTTCCTTGATTCACTAGAAAAGACAATAATGCTAAGTAAGGTAGAAGACAGCAGAAACAGAGGAAGACCACATTCCAGATAGATAGACTCAATCAAGGAAACCATGGCCCTGAGTCTGCAAGACCTAAGTAGGACTGTTGATGACAGGGACACATTTCTCTCATTCATAGAGTCATCATAAATCGAAGTAGATTAGACAGCAGTTAACAACAATGAATTTAATTCTATAAAGAGTTTAATATAATTTTAATCTTACCTTTTCATATGTTTTTAATTATATGTGGTTTTACTTTAATTTCTTTTCATTCAGTATGCAGCCTTGAGTCTCACTCTTGGAAAAATGAGAGTTATAAATAAAGTCTTTGATTGATAAGTACTCAAATATATAATTGGTTTTATTATGAAGGAACAAACATTGAATAGTGACCCTATGGATGAGCCATCTCCAGCCCCCCCTGTCCTCTACTGCTCTGCCCAGCTCCTGTAAACTCTTATTCATGGTCTCTTTAATAAAGTACATTCATCTAGCATATGGCCTTCCTCTCTTTCTACTTCCCTCCACCTTTCCTAACATTATTGTCTTTTTCAATGATTCATGCCTTCTCATGATCTGTCCAAAGTACGACAGTCTAAGTCTTGTCATCTTGGCTTCTATGGATATCTCTGGCTTGATCTGCTCTAGGACCCATTTGTTTGTCCTTTTGGCTGTCCATGGGATCCTCAGCACTCTTCTCCACCACCAGATCTCAAATGCATTGATTTGCCTCCTATCTTCTTTCTTGACTGTCCAGCTCTCACATCCATACATGGTAATAGGGAATACGATAGCTTGTATGATTCTGATTTTTGTGCTGAGTTGCATGTCTTTGCATTTTAGGATCTTTTCTAGTTCTTTCATAGCCACCCTACCCATTCTTAATCTTCTCCTGATTTAATGGCTGCAGTTCCTGTTCTGATCAATGTTTTATCCCAGATATGAGGACTCTTTTACTATTTCTATTTCCTCATTGTCTAGTCTGAATGTGTGTAAGTTCTCAGTGGTCATTCATTTTTTTTTCTTAATGTTCAACAGTAGGTCTGCCTTTGCACTTTCTTCTTTGA